AGGTTATCGTCTCACTGAATCAATGCACTTCCTCACTTCCCTGGTTCCTACAGTAATCACACACTCACGTCTTTAGCAACAGAACACTAGTGGTGTGAGAGGTTCTCTGCTCAAGGATAGCAGAGAAGGAGGACCAGCTGGCTGCTACCACTTCAATTTTAAGGCAAACTACCAGAGTCCCAGAAAGAAAAACACCATCTGAAGTCACGGACAACAAAAGACATTTGTTAGGGTGACCATATTTCCATTTCCAAAAAAGAGGACAATAGGTCTGTGCCTACCGATGACGTTGCACTATGGCAACACCACACAAACCATGTTAAGGACCCATTTTTTCCCCAGGTGAAGAGCTAAAATTAAAATCACATTCTGCCAACCAAAAGGCTCTACAGCATCGGTACACTTCCTGTGCACAGATTATTAAGGATGCTTGTTTCAGCTCTGAGATTAGATGATTGGATCAATGATTAAAAAAAAAAAAGTTTGTCACAGACTCCATGGAAACTTTCTGAGAATCCACAAATAGTGGCTTTCAGATGGTTTTGTTACTGACCGATTTTTGTGAGTTTAGAAAAGAAGCAGATGAGATGGTGTGTCCGTCAACTTTGTTTTTCGTCGGACAATATTAGAACATGTCAGTGATGTCTGAGGTGTTTTTATAAAAACTGTATAATTAACACTCCTGGACAGGGTAGGAATTAATCAGATCCAGAACCATCAGTAGATCTTTTTCTTCCCTGATGGCACGAGCATTTTCCAAGATGACAATGCCAGGGTTCCTCGGGCTCAAATAGTGGTTCAGGGAGCATGAGAGATTATTTTCACACATGGTTCGGATTGTAATCCCAATGAGAATCTTTGGCCTGAGCTGCAGAGGGTTTTGCCCAGCGGCTGTACTCTCCCATCATCAATATTAGATCTTGGTGAAAGTTTAATGCAGTACAGGATGGGAACACATCTTGGTACACTTGGAAATCTTACTGGAACAAAGCCAAAGTGAATGTGCGCTGTAATCAAAGCGAAAGGCAGCGGAACATAATGTTAGTGTGTGTGACCTTTTTTAGTGGCAACTTTTCTGGGCCAGGCAGTGAAGTTATTCAGTGTTTACAATGTGCCAATCCAAGATAATTGGACCGGGCTGCTGTTCAGCAGAAAATCAGAGTCAGTGGAAAAATATTCAAGCCCTAAATCTATTAAAGAAGCATGCACTACAGCAAAGAAAGGAGGGCATGCTGGGAGACGCAGAAAATGACTTCGAAAAATGCATCTGGTCAGGGTCAACACACTGGGATTGGGATGAAAAGGAAAAGGGATAGGACAGTGGATCTGACTCGCCCCTGTTGGAGCGAATGGGATAGACAACAGAGAGGAGCATTCCTGGTTACGTTCCAAGATAAAGCTGCAGCACTGAGGAATGGCACGACGTAAAAACACAGCACTTCATGGGAATGAGCTCATTTTTCCTCTTGTATGAATTTGGCGTGCTTTCAGTATGCACTCACCGCTCACATGGATACACACTGACTCATCGCACACAATCACAAGCTTGTCACTCCAGTGAACTTAGACAATTGAGATGATATTATGGCACAAAATGTCTGCCATCCAGCCTGTGTATGTGTGTTTGTGTGTGTGCGTGCGTGTGTGTGTGTGTGTGTGTGTGTGTGTGTGTGTGTGTGTGTGTGTGTGTGTGTGTGTGTGTGTGTGTGTGTGTGTGTGTGTGTGTGTGCGTGCGTGTGTTTCTATAAGTGAATACATTCTGATGAACACATTTGGATCAACTGGATAAAAGAATGAGATGCATTTAAACAAATCAAAGACAGAAGAATCTTTTATACAGCACCTCTCAAGATAAAAATGATGAGGCACTTGACAAGAACAAAAATGTTCCATGTAAAACAGATTTTAAGAAAACGCAATCAATAAATATGGTTAAAATGAGAAAAGGTGGAGTTGGTAGAACGAGCAGAATAAGGAGAGGGTGCATGTACATTTTAATCATATTGCAGTCTCAAAGTCATAATCATGTTTCATGTACGGACTTTTATTTTGAAAGGTTCCAGGTGTTTTACACTGCTCCCGTGTTTAACTTCCTGTCTGGCTCAGGTAATAGACAGGGGTCATAGGCTGAGATTTTAACAAATGTCACTGCAGTAAAATATTGTTATTGGTAGACTTTTAAGCAAGAGCTAAAAGCACCAGTTGGTGTTTTTAGAAGTGTGTGTTAAAAACACATTTCTTTCTTTGTAAAACAATTATTTTTTTTTTATTTTAGCTTTTATGAATTCAGTAGAAAACAGTAAAGGTCTCTCGCTGAAGTGGTCTGACTCACTTTAATCACTTTCAACCCCAAACCCTTTAGTCCACTCACTACAATCAATAGGAGCTCAACAAAGGATGGAAATCACAAAAATGGTAGCCTTTACATTTGTTTCCTTTTTAACAGTCACATAAATTGGTGACTTGTTTGTGGTCTTGATTTTCAAATGTCACAAAAAAGTAAAACAGATGGTGTTGTTGCACACTAATGGGTACAAACTGAATGTGCTACTTTAAACTCATCCTGGATTAATGATCTGTTTTCATTTGGACAGATTAACAAGCTTCCAGGAATGGGAATGTTTCACCCGGACTCAAACTGGACTCTGCCGTGGCTGCTGGCTGCTTTCACCCAAATTCCGGTATTTACACTGGAATTCCTAAACAGAGATGGCACAACACGCTGTAGCACGGACAACATCAGAAGGAAAAAACAAATCGATACATCTTTCCTGGCTGAAGTGCAGGATGCCCGATCCGCAGTGGAACTGAAACGCTGTCATCCAGCAAAGCTACATTTTACTCCTGCTATGAAGTCAGCAAATCTCTGGCACATGGAGGTTTAACTGAACTGGGAGACGGAGGATGTGGTGCAGGCAGTGACGAAGTGTTACAGCATCGCTGCAGTATGCAGTGGAGGGAGGGACTCGGGGGACCTGCAAGCTGACTCAGTCTCTTCTGAAAAGCTCCTGATAGGGCCTCCCAAGGGGCAACATCTCCTCCACAAGTTACAGAGGATTGTTATGCACCCCCATCCTGAGTGAAATCACAGATCGGGCCCCTGAGAACGACCTGGCAGTCTGACGCGGGGAGGATGACGGTTCAGAGGAAGACAGAGAGACATTTCTCTTTACCTGTCTGCCTCCTTGATTCCTGGGTTGTCTATTTCTGAGTCACACACAAGCAAGTCTCTCCTGGCTGCGGAAGGTAGTACACACACCTTCACACAACAACAGGTAACAAACGTGAGCAGAAACATTCTTCTGGTAAAATGACAGGGATTGATGGTTTGTGAGGAGCGACACGAGCGCGCACGGGAAACACGAGCTTCTTCGCTGGCGTCTGAACCAAACTGCCGCCATGCATGAGCCATAATTACGCAGTCGTAGACTTCGTAGTCCACTCAGACAGATGCTGTTAGATCACATGGAAGGGCCGTCATGGTGGAGAAAACAACTCTGCTAGTTTTAAACTGTTTTAGCCAAACTTCACACTTTCTATTTAGATATTAGGGTAGAATAATCCGTCCTCCGGAGCCCGTTGCGGGTGTGTTTTATTCCCTTTAGCGATTTCAGGTTACAAATAAATAACAAATAAACATTTAAACTGTTTTAAATCCAGCTTAATAAAACAGAACACATTCCAACCAGCCAACGCCTTCTTTAGGAGACAAAGAGTCCACAAACTTAGACGTTTGAAAACTTTTTTAAAACTTACAATGACTCATTTTTTCTGTTCAATAAAAACAATTATAAATGGTAAAAGCCCAGATGGATGTGTGTGTGTTTGTGTGTGTGTGTGTGTGTGTGTGTGTGTGTGTGTGTGTGTGTGTGTGTGTGTGTGTGTGTGTGTGTGTGTGTGTGTGTGTGTGTGTGTGTGTGTATAGCCCATACTAAGCCAGTTCTGGGCTTGGCTGTAGTTTGTTAAGCACATGCTGGGTTCAAACAGATGACAGTCATATTTACATTCCTCCAGAGCAGGGATGACCAGCAGCTGGCCCCCTGCTCAAAATGGTAGCGAGTTGTTGATGCAGACACTTTTAAAGCTGTATGTCCAGCTCTCCGTTAACGTCAGGCCTAAACTATGCTAATATAAAAAGTCTTTAATCAACCTTTTTGTTTTTTGCTTTTAAATCTGTTTCCTGGGGAATCAAACCACAGACCCTGACTCGTTTAAGTAAATGTAAACTGGTGAGATGTGTTCATAAAACATTCCTAACAGCTCCTAATGGACTCAAACAGACTACGAAAGTAGAAACCAAAGCAAAGACCTTGGTTCTACACAGACTCCCTACCAGGTATTGGAAAAAACACACGTTTATATGGCTCACAAGCAACTTGAGGATGTTGGCCCATGTCTCAAAACACTTGGACACCGACATACTGGGGTCCTTAACCCCACTGGGAGGAGTTTGAATCAAATAAAATGGAGTTGACTCTAAAACATTATGTAGTTTGGTTTAACAACAAGTAGACTTACGATATTGGTCAAATTAGAAATTGGCTTTGAAATGATCCAAAACTAGGATGAATGGAAATGTGTTCTCAAGCTTCGGTTCTGGACAACTCTTGTTCTTCATTTCATGACACTATCAAGTTTCTGTCCAGAGGTAAAACGACGAGAGCAAAGAGTCTTTGTCTCTAACCTTCAGTTTCTGGAATTTGTTCCAGTTGATGTCAATCTGTTCCAGACACTTTTACCACTCAGACTGGTCCAGTTTGTCCAGAAGAATCACTTTGATGTCTAACTAAGTCCAGGTGTAGTTAGATTGGCTGATCATGTGTGCTGAACTCTGTTGCTTCTTAGTTCTGGACCAAATCAGCACAAATCTACTGTTCTCTGTGAGGTACGGCCAAGAGAGTTTCGTCTTTTAACATCAAACATTTGATCATTAACAAGAAAACGTGTTTTCATTCTTAAAGTTACTGACATTTCTACAACCTTGGAACGACCGAACTCACCTTGTTCTGACATCAGGGTGTCACATGATCCGAGGCTGATGGCCAGCAGAGTGAAAGCAGAGCAGAGAACCCACATGATGTTTCTCCTCCGACAGCAGCACCTCGCCTCGCTTCACCTCCTCCGCCGGATGACCACTGAACACGGGAGAAAAGTGTTAAAGGTCCAATCCTTCAGTGTTCATCAGCACGCCTATGCGTCTGCTCGCTCTGCCGACAGCTGTGCATTATGCTTGACTCTGAAAGAGGAGCTGATGTATATTTATGAGTTGGTCACAGTTGATGTCTTAATGATGTGGTATGTTGCGGGCTTTGTTAGTGGCTTATGAATTACCCAGAATGTCCCTCATTAGGAAGCGTATCTCCACAAAGTCCGATCATAGTCATTATCCTGTCCATCTGCTTGGCCTTTAGAATGGAGATCTGCTGCATTCAAATACATCTGGAGAAAGTGCACTTCAGTTCACATGTGTGACCACGTAGCAGAGAGAAGTCTCGTCCTGAAGACCGACAGACCGCACACACATTGCAGTAAACAGAATCTGCATCCCATGCAAAAGGCTCCCATGAAATCAAAAGGATTTATCGTGCAGGCCGGTCGGCCTCGAGTCAAACAGACAATAGAGCCAAAACACACAAACATCTGGAAACCCTTCCACTGGAGCCGTGGTTGTGTTGGAGCAGATGTTTCCACGTGGCTCACAACGAGCACACACGCACTCATGCACGCACACACACACACTATATTTAAGATTAATAAAGCATGCCATGCATAAATATTGATTATATTTATATTCACTCAGGCGGCCTAAACAGCTTCCTACTGACCTGGACTTGTCCTCAGCATGTCTGAGGACCCCTGTAACTCTGCAGTGTTTACTAGTTCAGGAGGACCCTCGAGGCAGGACAGAAAGCAGACCATGTTTTTGTACACACACCTGTCCTGTCTGCCAGGGGGGATGACCCACCTCAAACTCCCCGAGCTCCCTCAGTGTGTGAATCCCACCTAGCCTGACTCGACCACGTGCACCACCATGCTAATAGATGACACAGCGGATGTTTTCAGACATTGATTTAACAGGTATTCTATTAATGTGTGTGCATTTATTTAAGCCTAATTATTTATTATACCAGCTTCTGAAGAACCTCTATTGGGAGAAACAGCCGAGGAGCTGACCAGCTAACAAAAGTCAGCTGTTAGCTACAGCTACATTTACCAAAAAATGTTTTGTCTGGCTTTTTATCAGCACATTGTTGGACACAATTTAAGTTCATTTGGGAAAATAAAATGAATGATTTTGGCACCACAGTGATCTTGTGGTCAAACACCTGTTTCCTTAAAGGGGACCTGTTAGGGTTTTTTTTTCTTAAGTTACAGATATTATATGAACTATAAAAAACATTTTCACAAAGTCCTTGGCCCAGAATCCCTCTCACCAACACGTTCTCACTCCCAGCGCGTCAAAAACAAACGCTTGGTCAGCCACCCTCCACGTCAGACCCCTGACGCCAAAAGTGCCCTTTTTCGTTACTTATGTGCAAAAAAGGGGTTTTTCCCTTATTTGACTGCAGATATCAATGCAGCGTTACACTGACGTGATGGGATGTCCTCAGCCAGGGCACCAAACAAACTCATTGTACCTCACTTTAACCTTATCCTCTTATTTAACCTTCCCCTCAACCCATCCTAACCTTAACCATCTTGCTAGCGAACACATTAGTGATGTGTCGATCGCTCTAAAAGCCGGCTCTATGAAGTGAACGGCGGGAGCCGCCTCGTCATTGGTTGAGTTTGGACCGAGCCAACGCGAGGGGGAGGTTTCAACTACCAAGGTGGAGGTTTAAAGTAGAGGGTATGTGTAACCTCCCCCTCGCCAGATGGTATGTTCTAACGTTCCCCTTGGGCGGCAAATACGAAAATTGACAGTCAGACTCTGACTGTCAGAGTCAGAATGCACGGGAAACAAACGCTTGATCGCAGTGAGAGTAACGTTTTAGGTAGCAAGAGGGTTAAGGTTAGGATGAGGGTGAGGGGAAGGTTATAAATAGTGAAACGTTAAGGTTTAGGTGCGGTTAAACGAGGTGGTTCGGTGCCGCATCAGCAGATATCTCATCACGTCAGTTTTACGCTGCATTGGGATCTGCAGTTACAAAAGGGAAAAACCCCTTTTCGCACATAAGTAACGAAAAAGGGCACTTTTGGCATCTGGGGTCTGACGTGGAGGGTGGCTGACCAAGCGTTTGTTTCCGACGCTTAGGGAGTGAGAATGTGTTGCTCTCACATGAACAGTTTTAACAGTTTTGTTTCTTGACAGTTTCAGTACCTTCCTGAATGAGTCATTTCGGGACTCGCCTAGAAGAAGAAGAAGAAAATATCATCCTACCCATCCCCCTCTCAGGCTGCTTTAAGCTGAGAACATCCTAAGTCTGGGAGGGGTTTGAGTAGAGCTGCTGCACCTACAGCAGCTCTCTTGCACAGGAGAGGTGATTCTGTTCTATTACAGACTAAGACTTTTTCAACTGGCTTGTTTTAGGCACATTATTCCTGAAACCAAACCCTGACAGAAAACAGATGAACTGGTTTTTCATGTATGGAGTGTTTATAGAGGTAGTAGACACCCTTATGGCACCACAAACCAATGCAAAAGGTGAAATTTGCATAATATGTCCTCATTTTAATCTAAAATTGCTGCACCTTTAGCAGCCCTTGTCAGTATCAAATGGCATCAGCATACTGAATGAATTCAATAACTCGAATGTAGCTTTTTATAAGCTCAAAGATCACCAGCAGCAGCATGACTTGTCAGGTGAATCCAGGGGTAAAACCTGAGTGGAGATCTTAAAAATCAGCTAAAATAATGGCGTTATGCAAATCCACACCTTTATTGCTCTTGTGAATTTTGCCTTATAAATCAGAACTAATTCAGCCATGGTTTTTCTGCAGAAAAATGAATACCTTTGCTTCGGATTGCCTATTATGGGAATTGTTGTAAAGTCTCTGACCCAACAAGTAGGTGACACGGTGCAATCTGCTATGTGTTCTTACCTAGGAGACTTTTAACAAATGTACATAATGAACTGAACTTAATGCACTGATGAGTGGGTTTAACTGGAATGTTTTCTATGTAAAGTGTCTTCAGACGACTCCGGTTGGGATTATGAATAAACGGAATTGAAATTCTTGCTGGACTTCACCCTGGATGCACCAGAAATACCGGTACTACATTTTCCTATTGGAGGTATAACTAAGTAAAGTCACAAGCACTGAAGGTGTAAACATTTATAAACCATGTCTGTTTTATTAGACAGTTGCAGCAGTCTACTGAGCAGTTGGGCTCATCTGGACCATACAGATGAGCCAAAACAATGTCATGCATGCATTTAGTTCTCTCAACTGCAGCTTCCCTTTAGCTCTGCTAAGCCATTGAAGGTGGCGTTATCATCATCATGCACCGGCCTTGGATTGGAACCCTTCACCCCTGGACTGTAAACACTAACAGGCTGTCTGTGTAGCCAGCAGAGAGAAGGGATTTCTTTCTTATCTAGTCTGTACTTTTGGAAGTGCATTTGTATCATAATCCTAAAGAAAAGTTTAAATGACAGACACCATTAGATTTAATCTTCAGGAGCTCTCAAAATCTGAGCCAGAATGTGACCATGACTGCTTGTCAACCCTCCTACTGTCTTCATGGGTGACCCCACAAAGAAAGTTGACCATTGAGCAGGATGGATAGTTTATTCCTTGAGGTCCACGTGGCAGGGGTGAGGTGGTGCTCTTTGGTGAGCGTCAGGGACGGACTGCCAAACACAGGGTGGGCTGTTTTGTCCTGGGGCTTTGCCAGTTCACCGTTGCTGTTCATCTTGTTACTAACACGGAGTTATCATTCTTCAAGGATGCTTTGCTGTGAATCTAGAGATACATCCTGAAATGGGTGGAGGAGGATTCCATGGAATCCAAGTTTCCTATTTCTGTGTTTATTTGTCCCAAGAAAATGATTTATGTCTCAGAACAAAAAACATCTCCGTAACAATTTCATCATATATGGGCCTATCCTCGCTCTGACAGGTGTAGAATAACATGAACTGGTTCTTTTAACAGTACACTTCAAAATATCTGATGCATCCCTTGAAAGAGACGAGGATGGTGAGTTTGTCTAGGTTGCAGCCCCAAGGTGTGACTGGCTTGTTTTCTGTTTTGCCACATTTTCTTCTCTTAAGAGTCAGTATAATTATAAAATGTCTCAATTTATTTTCACGCTCTTGTGCTGACAACTTTCGCTGACTTCTGTAGCTGTAAGCGCTGCAGCGAAAGAAGACTCGTCTAAAATACACGTATCTTCCTGCAGCTGGACGGTGGACAGTAAATCAAAGCTTTCAGACAGCTGCGTTTTGAGCACCGTGAAGCTGCAGCCATTATTACAGGCTTCATGCAACATGATCACAATAATATGAAAGTTCACACAGTGCATAATTCATAACACAGCACAGTCTGGAGAACAGAGGCTGCAGGAAATAGTGGTGCTCATGACTATTATTATCTGGCCTTAATCCAAAACAGTTTAATAGGCTTTATAATATGCATTGCCAAGGATGTCTCCTTTTGCCTTGCTCTCTTTACTTGTTGTAGCAGATAAAGCTTGGATGGGAAAGGCCACTGGGCTTGCTTGATGTTTGGACATGAGCCCGCCAAGCCAGAATGAGAGTGATGGGGTCACCGTGGGCGAAACAGGAAGGAAAACAATGACAGATTCTCCTAAGAAAACAATTGCAAGAGCTGGCGGGGCGACTGCGATCCATAAATAAAACTGATATTTTTCTCAGTTCAGACTTTTTCCACTTCTTCTATTCCTCGGACAACAATGTGCCTTTCTTGAAAAATCTGAGCCGCCCTCTGGTTGTTGTTGTTTTGTATGTTTGGTCCAGGTCTTCTGTTTTCTCTTTCCTCCACAGCCCTAATTAGTGGCCCTTCCCAGGGCCTGAAAACGCAGACCAAAAAGGGGGCATTGCTATTCTACTGCGCCGCACAACAAACGAGGCAATTTGTGTTCCGAGCTGGATAATGTCTGTTGTCACACATTTCATTAACATTGCCATTCACTTGGATGGAGCAACAACCCCAACAAACGGCTGTTTAGAGG